TATTTTGCTAAGAAACATAGCAAATTTCGTTAGAAACATAGAAAGTGTTTTAATTTAAATTCCTGAAATATCCAAGTAACGCATATGGAGTGAAAGGATAGTGAATTACTATAGAATGTCTACCTCTATTCCTCGATCGCACGCAAAATCCTAGAGTGATTTTTACTGTAAAGTTCTCTCCGTGTAGAGGGAATTTCGCGCGCAATTTCACACCGATCAGGATCGAGAGCCTCGCGGAGTATCTCGCGTCTTGCGCGCGTTTCGATCTCGACGATGCGCCGGGCGTCAAAGCATGCAGCCGCGCGCACCAAGGCGCTCCGCCGTAACTTTCGATGGAGCTGTACTTTCGCGATTTTGTCGCGCGCGCACACGCGCGTATCGTCCGATGATCGATGAGGGAAAACGGACGTGCGCAAAGAACACCGTGACGAATTCCCGTGGTACGACAATGCGCGTGTAAAAATCTTGAAATTGCATACACGCGACGATGCGCGGACGACGCGCCAATAAACGAGAGAGCGAGCGCATCGCGCGCCCTCCGTGGAGAACGTAAGCGCGGAAAAAACGTCGCGCGGCGGCTTACCACGAGAAACGGTGTGACATTACGCTACACCGGCGTCTCATCAAACGATAATCTATGCGATCTACAAGAGAAATAACATACGCCGCGACGTCACAGCTGTCGCCGCCGCGTGAAGTTTGATTACCGCGAACGGAATGAAAAATCGCGAAATTACACTTCGCGACGTAACGGTACGTCAAACATTATTCATTGTCTCCCCCTCTCTCTGTCTCTCACTCTCCTCCCTCTCTCTCTCTCTCTCTCTTTTTCTCGCGCGCACTCGCTTCTCCTTCTCTCTTCTTTCTCCATCCATATGGTTTCGATTATCCTCGATCGGCTGTTTGGACACCGTCGGCCACGCGCTCGCTCGTACGCGCGTCTCTTGGCGTCTTTTTGAAGAAAATAAATGTTCGTTCATCCTCTATTGTGTGTATGCACATCGGTTTGCTAACAGACTGACGCTACCTACTGAGATTCCGTGTCGCGTATATCTCTGGCGTCATGTTATCTATCTGTCCCTCTCTGCTTACCATCGCGTCTTATAATTCTCGATTAATAAGCCCGACAGTCGGACTATGGAATCGTCGGATTCTATTCCTACTTGTGAGCGACTCGACGGTAATGACAAGTGTAACAGACGCCGCGACAAGCACCGCTTGCGTATACCGAGAAGCGAGGAAAGTTTCACTTACCAATAACGTCCTCGCCATACGTCCCGACGATCGCACATCGCTATTTTCGACACTCGCACGAGACCCACTTTCGACGGACAAAGGACGCGTAAAACGCGCGGAGCGATGTAGATCGATGTGTCAATGGCGGCTGCTCGGCGCGAAAAGATCTAATATGGCTGCGTAATTACTAACGTAACGTAAATACATCGCGCTGCTACAACGACGCCCTCTGCGCTCTTAGTTCACAGATTCGATAGATCGATATTGCCTTACCGTTCGATAGGTCGATTGGTGCTAAGAATTTTCGACCAGTCACACTCGTTTCTAATTACATGTTTCTCATTACTGTTAATCAATCGGGAAAACTCGCTTACCGAATTAATCAACAGTCATGAAAAATATATAGCTAGATGCGGATGCGCGACTAGCCGAAAACTTTTAATAACTATCGATCTGTCGACAATAAGATGGAATCTGAAGTGTACACATCCAATTAACCTAATCTAACCCTAACCCTAACCTTTCACGATGTCGTCTATCTTGCACACGTACGGGGAACACGCTTCGAATCGATATCGACCTGCAAACTCGAACGCGTTACTTCGCCTCTTTCACTTCACTCCCGCTACGGACTAGTATGGATTCGAATTTCGAGATCCGTTACCTGCAACGTTACGTGTACAGGAGAAACTGTGTTTAAAAGGAACGAGGCAACGGGAGGGGGCGAGATACTTAACAAATATAGATCGGCTCGAGATGCTCCATAACGGCGCGACGCGCCGAATCGATTCTATCAGAGAACAAAAACTCCTCATGGCCTATTATATGTATGTACATATATGTACGTATACATATACTATATACATACACACTTATACATGTATCTGACGGTGCGATCGCACGCCAGCATTCGTCCGACGTTCTTTATTTTTGCGGTTGGCCCGGGGCGAAAAATAACGACGTCGTTCCCGCGATCGGATCCGGAGTGGCGGCGGTCACGAGTGTCCGCGTCGAGATCCCGGCGAGTGTGTCTCTCGTTCCCGGCGTCGTGTGCGTGCGTGCGTGCGTGTGTGCGCGCGCGCGCACGCACGCGAGCGCGCTTGAAGAAATATACACGGGACGCGAAAAGCGTCGCGGCGCTGGGCGTCCTGCGTTACGTCGAGGTCCGTCGGAATGCGTAAATATACAAGCCGCGCGAGCGCGCGGCGAAGAGAAAGAGACGGACCGACCGACCGACGGACAGACGGACAGGCTTGCGTCGCTCCACATACGCGGCCACCCTGAATTTATAAGAAGCCGTGACTCCAGCCGCGAGCGCGATACGTGACGTCCGCACGCGGGCCGAAGTCGAAAGCGTATCGCCAGATTTACGCTCTCCTCCCTCTCGCGGCAGGATGCGTATCTCATCGGGAGAGACGTCAAGGCGCGAGTAGACGTCTCGGCGAAGAGAAGCCGAGGCGATCGCGAGACGGACTCGCGACAAAGAGGACAGGAACGTCCGGTGTTCCGTAACGTCGTCACAGCGGGCAGACGTGGACGCCAGCCGGCAGAGATTAGACGGATCGGAGAGATGAGTGAGCGATCACACGTTCCCGCGAGAACACCGATCTCCGTATCTCGCGGGGATTCGCGCGCATGACAGTGATCATTGCGCTTTTCAAGCGCGATTGTTCGCGGATATGCAACAAGTACATGGAGCTGCACGATTCTTCTTAGGGCGCATTCACATCTTGACAGAAAAGCAGAAGCAAATCAGAACTCGTGCTGATGATTAAGTAATAGTCGACCAATTTCTGCTTTTCTACTAGCGCGAATTCTGATTGGCTTCTGCTTTTCTACCGAGATATAAATCCGCCCTTACACGCATGTGTCGCGTCGCGCTATTCCGATTTAGCCTTACGATTTTTCTTGCGAGAAATAAATCGGTATTTCGCGATATTATCCAATACCTTGCTTGTTTTTCGGGTTTGGACCGCGTGTTTCTTGTGTTTGGTTCCGACGTTTCGTGAACATTCCGCATTTCTAGGGAGCAGGGCGACCTGAAAGTCGGCACGAGAAGTAAATCGACTCCGCGAAGAAGTCCGCAGTCTTCGCGTGATGAGATTATTCATATCACTATGTGCTCCGCGCTTTTTTTTCCAGCGAAGCGCGATGACAAATCGCTGAGAGCCGATCGCAAAAAGTGGGTCGTTAACAGCGGCTACGAGAGAAAGACAGATCGAGTACGTATCCGGCAAGATGCAAGGTTAAATCTTTAACGCGTTTAAGTGCAATCTCGCCGCTAACAGGCGAAGCAGAACTAATTACCCGCTCCATTAAGCGTCATCAATCAATCCTTTTTATTTATCAGCCGGTTTTTGCGCATGCCATTTCACAAAAGTAACGGAACGAGCGCGCGCGGTACGCCTGACCTTCTGCGGTTGACAATCTAGGAAGCGATTTTTGCCGCGGCGTATAATTACGGCCGAATGAAAATGTAAACGCGCACTCTGTGTCCGCCTTCTTCTTCCTCCTTTTTTTCAACTTGCGCGATTACGCGAGTCGATCTCGCGCGCGTGACGCACGCATGTTTGCGTTCTTTTCCGCGTAAATTACCAAACGGCGCGTGATATCGCACTGTTCAGTTTGCAGTCGCGACAGCAGAAGAAGAACAAGAAGAAGAAGCAGCTCATTTGTCTTTTCATCGTATGATATTGCAGACGAAAAACCTTGTTTCGATTATCCCGTTCCGACAGTAACTCGTCGAGGACAAAAGCATCACCGCATGCACGCGTGCTAACTTGGAAGAGTTGGGAAGTAATGCGACCCAGACGGTACAAATTAATAAAAGATGATGTTTCAAAAACGTTCAAGAGATGTCTAAAAAAAATAGCACATCTTTTGGGTGTCTTTAAGACACCTTTTAGTAGATTGATCTTTCTGGGGAGTAGTTACTTGTAACGTCACTGTTGTCGTCATTACAAATTATCTATTTGTTCCTTCTTAAGTGATAAAGTTATTTTTCGTGATAACAATTACGAAAGCGCAAATTATATTTTTAGTGTAACGGTAACAAATATACTATATATATCGTTACTGCTATTTCGTAACATGTAAGATACAAGTAAAGGAGAAATCTTACAAACTTGATGTGAAAATAGTAAAAAAATTGTAATTTGTTACTTCTTGAATAACAACAAGAGTCACTTTTACCAAAGTAAGTACACGGAGAGAATTTTATAGTAAAAATCATCATAAAATTTTGTAATGAAGAAATAGATCAACGTTCTGCAAAATTTATTATTCTTTCATCTCATAAGTGCTACTCATGTAGTTTAGAAACTGAAATGTGCTATTAAGAAATTGCTTTGTTCTTCAGCTACTCGTGCACTACTAGAAACATACACTGAGAAAAAATGCTACGTACTTGTAACTATAATCATATAAATATAATCACAAAATAATTAGTGTAAATTTTAATGAAGAAAAAACCGCTTTTTTAATTAAATTCTATTATAATTTTAGTGATAATTACCTTATATATATATATATATATATATGTCACTACTGGCATTTTTGCGTTAGGACAATCAAAAGATATAGTTAGGGCCAAAAATAACTATAATTAGATGAACCATTTTCCTCCCTCGGTGTGGTAAAATTGGAAAGGGTTGGTATGAGAAGAAAACTGTAACATTCTCTCCGCGTAGTGCCAACGACGCGACGTCACTTTTGAAAGGTAAAGTTCCCGCTTAGAAGCAATCCTTTTGGCATTTTGTTCGCAGGACTCGCAGAACGGCCCGGTGCTGGACCGATGGAGCATCTGCTCGGCTGAGGAGGAGCCGCTGGTCCTGCAGCAGTTCCTCAGATTCGCCGAGACGCGTCCGTTCGTGCAGCAGTTGCTGCTGGCCGCCGGAACGCCGGGTACGGATGCTATGTCACCAAGCAGACGACCTTCGCCGCCGACGATGCCACTAGCACACTTGCCACCGCCGTTGCACATGCTCCACTGCGGCCTACCACCGCCGGGCACCCGGCTGCCACCGCCGTTGCCGCCGCCGCCGCCGCCTCCGCTGCCGCCGGTCTCGCATCCGTCGATGTCACCGACGGCGCCGAAGCACTACTCCTCGTCGACGAGCGGCAATCCCGGCCGAACGAACTCACCACCGCGCACCTTGGACTCGCATTTGACGGTGTCGCCGTTGAACCGGCTGCAGAGCATGCAACCGTTCGACTTTCGGAAGCTAGGCACCCTCGGCTTACCGGCGTTCGCGCCGTTACCGCCACCGCCGCCGTCCGCGGAGCAGCTACTGCAGAATCGGAAGTCCATGAGAAACCCCCAGAGTCCGCACAGCCCGCCGCACCACTCGTCCGCGACGTCGCAGCTGCAGAGGCCGCACATGCCAGTCGCGCCGGTCTCCTCGTCGGCGTTGACCTTCGGCCACCCGCTCTCGGTCGCAGTGTCGTCCAGTGCGCTACCGCCGAGCTTCCCGACGCATTTCCCACCACCTCCGTTGGGCAAGTCGCCCGGCATCGGCTTAACCGTGCACAGCGCGGACGTGCACAGCGGCGGCGAGAAGAGCAGCGAGTTCGGCTCCGAAGAGGACGAAGACGACGAGGAAAACTCGGACAGCGCGCTGAATCTCAGTAGACGGGACTCGTTGTCGAAGCACTGCAGTTTAGGCGAGCGGCATCCGTTGCCGCTGCAAGCGGCGCCGTTGGGCAGGCCACCTGGAATACCAGGCAGAAAGCCGCATTCGCCGGGCAAGCGGCCGGGCGGCCAGTGGAGTGCGGCCCATGCGAACATGCCACCGAATCTCGGCACTCCCTTCATCAACCCCACCACCGGCAAGAAGAGGGTACAGTGCAACGTGTGTCTAAAGACGTTCTGCGACAAGGGCGCGCTCAAGATCCACTTCAGCGCGGTGCACTTGCGCGAGATGCACCAATGCACCGTGAAGGGCTGCAGCATGATGTTCAGCTCGCGCAGGTCGCGCAACCGTCACAGCGCCAACCCGAACCCGAAGCTGCACTCGCCGCATCTACGCCGCAAGATCTCGCCGCACGACGGCCGCTCGTCTATGGCGCACGCCCTAGTGTTGCCACCGCAGGTAGGCCTCCCGGTGCCAGCCACCGGACTCAATCATCTGCCGTTCGGCTCGTTTCCGTTGCTCACGCCGCCACCGGATCTTCGTTCGCCGGCCTCGTTGTGCGCGTTGGACTTCAAGCACTTGGATCTGTCGTCCACTCCCGGCCAGGGCAGACCGTACGACGAGGCGTTGCAGCAGAGGATGTCGGCGAACGTGAGTCTGTCGACGACCACTGCCTCGACGACGATACCGGTCGCGGCATTGTCGACCGCGGCGACCAGCACCACGACTACGCGGGGCTCGTACTCGAGCGGTGGTGGTGCAGCTTTGGGCGCGGTCTCGCCGTCCACCCAAGCGTCGTCAATGATACCGGAGGGCGAGGAAGACGATGACGACGACGACGGTGGGATCGTCGTGGTCGCGGAGGACGAGACCAGCAATTTGCCGTCCAGGTTGCCGTTGCGCGCCGGAAACGATGATGACGAGCAGCCGGCTGACTTCAGTTTAGCGAAACGACCGAAGCTCTATTTCGGCGACACCGTTGACGAAGATCTCGCCAGCAATCCCGACAGTAACGAGGACAACGACTCGATGGGCACACTCGATCAACAGTCCTTCTCCGTGAGCCAACACTCGCTCAACTCGAGTTCCTTCCACAGCCGGGGCGTGCGCAAGAGGAAGTCGCAGCATCCCACCAGATGCGCCGTGCCGGCCGAAGTACACTCCTCGTCCACCGACGGCGACTCCTCCAACGACGAGGAGCAGCGGATTCAACGGCGGTGTCTGTCGGACAGCGTCAGCGCGACGCCGATGGCGGACTTCCAAAACCAGCCAGAGGACATGTCGATGTCCAGGCTCGAGGCAGAGGAGCGAAAGATGCTACCCGGCTCGCCGAGAAATCTCAGAGGCGGCTTTCACGATCGCGAATCGGACTCGCGCTCCCCGGACGCCGACAGGGAGCGCGAGATAGCAACCACGGCAACCGGCCGACGCGACACTCTCTCCTCCCAGGACAACGCGGAGGATCTACCTCAAGACGAGCCGCGAGACTTGAGCTCGAGGGCGAGTAGCGTCAAATCGCCAAAACGACAGATCACTCCGGAACCAAAGACCGAGAACGCGCCGTCGTCGACCAGCATGCCGAACGCGGCAACGACGACGACAGCGGCGGCGGCGGCGGCGGCGGCGGCGGCGGCGGCGGCAACAGCGGCGGCGAAGGATTCCGACGTCGTCGCGATTTCGTCGTCGGAACCGAAAGACCGACGGCACAGTTCAGAGAGCGACGGTGAGACGATGAGGATGAAGGAAGAGAGGAACGCGAAGAGAGAACCCACCGAAACGATGGCATCGTCGACGACAATGGCTACAACAACAACGACGACGACGACGACGACGACGACGACGACGATGACGATGACGACGGAGAAGGAGACAGCGGCGAACGACGAGGAGAACCAGGAGGACGAGGAGGACGACGATGATGAACCCATGGAGGAAGTCGAGGAGGATGATGATGATGAGGAGGAGGTGGACGACGCGCTGCGCAATCAGGAAGGTGAGCGTCCCGATGATCCCCCCCGTGCCCCGAGCTCGGTCGACAGCCGTCCGACGACAGCCGACGACCTCTCCCACGACTCCTCGACCAACACTTTGCGTCAACTCGAGTCCTTGTCGCAGGGTCGATGCGCGATGCCGTACGCCGAGACGCAGCGGGTGGCTTCGAGGTCTGGCCGCGGCTCTACCAGCCCTATCAGCCTCACGACCCACCAGGAGACCACCATGGACAACTCCTCACATGGCTCTCGTTCATCCAGCGCCTCACCCTCCACAGCGGCCATGGATATGGACAATAGCCTGATCACGTACGCGCGCTACGAGAACGGCGGCTTCGTCAGCACCCAGGAGGTGCCGCTAGACCGTGAGAACCCGCGTCGCTGTACCGCCTGCGGCAAGGTCTTTCAGAACCACTTTGGCGTCAAGACGCACTACCAGAATGTCCATCTCAAGCTGATGCACCGTTGCAGCGTGGACGGCTGCAACGCGGCTTTCCCGTCGAAACGCTCCCGCGACCGCCACTCGGCGAATCTCAATCTGCACCGGAAGCTCTTGTCGACCTCGTCGAGCCCGCCGCCGCTCTCATCCACCTTACCGTCGAGTCTGTCACCGCGCATCGACGACCCGCAGATGAACCCGTTGCTGCACAATGAGTTCTTGGCGAGGCTCTACGCGGACGCTGGGATAGGCGCGTTAGGCGCGTACCCGTTAGCACCTGGCCTACCGTCAGCGGTAGACCTGGCGGCGAGGATACCGCCGCCGCACCCGTTGTTGCTACCGCCACACCTGGGCGCCACCTTCCCGGGTCTCTCGTCGTTCGCCTCTCACTTAGCCGGCTTGAACGGTTTCGCCCATCAGCATCTGAACCATCTGACGAAACTGACTCAGGAGCAGAGCACCAGGCACCAGGCGTCCATCTCGGCCTCACCCGTGTCTTCACCAGGCTCGGACGACCGCAAGGTAGAGGAGGCTCGCTGTACCGTACCCGGCTGTGAGCGCGTTTTCGGCTCCAGAGCAGTGCGGGATGCGCACTCCAGGGACCCACAGGCTCACCGCGACCTGCCGATTTTGTCCACCAGCAGCGGCTCGTGACCGATCTCCTCGTTCTGCGGCCGCGGACACGACTATTATCCCCTACTGTGATGCCAAAATCCTAAACGGCGACTCGGCGCACTCGGGCCGATGGTCGCCGATGATCTCGCATTTGATCAGGGTCGGCGAATCAGCAGGCGCTGCCCTCGTCAACGGGGAGCCTCGCTCTGTTGTCCCGAACTCGATACGTTTAAAACGGACGTGTGTTAAGAAGAGAAGAACGAGAAGAAACGTGCAATATCTCGAGCGGAGTGCGTGCGGAATGATCGACCATCCACGTGACGATCGACTCTCGAATTTCGACACGAGGTGGGTTACGTTGGTCGCCCATGTGAAACGCCCGCCCGTGGAATAACAAGCCAGTTCCAGTGTGGTAATATCATCCTCGCCTGCCAGTTCATTCCATTTCTCGCATTCATTCGTCAGGAATCGCAACCCGCGACTCGTCGGGCTGATCTAGTCAATTTGGAAATCTCGGTTCGCGCTGTCGGCAGCGAAGGCGGAAGGTCGCGCGTTATATCGCGTTCGGTTTCATTTCATTTGTCTCTTGCGCCAAATGCGCGTGACTTGAAGGATCTGAGAGGAGAGGGAAGCGTCCGACTCGAAGCTAATCGCAAACCGAACACTATACGACGCGCGACGTATCCGTGGCATCATTACCTTCGTATCATCACTACGAGCAATCTCACATTGCGACACTGGCTGGCGTAAAATAAAATCAGGACCCGACTGGTCGCGACTAAACTGCCCGATCTCGAAGATCTCCACGTTCGCATGACGCGTGAGCGCGATTCGTTCCCTTTTTTCTCGCGAGCGCGAAAACACGGCGAGCCGAAGTAGATTCCGTCGTCTCGTCCGGCTAATTTTTCCCCTCGCTCGTCAATCGCGACGGCCGCATGTTGTCTCGCCTTCTGTCTCGTCACCGGGACTATTCGACATAATCAATCAAGGGGAGGGGGGGTGGATCAGTCGACGGAGGCAGAGAGAGAGAGAGAGAGAGAGAGGGTGAAGGACGAGCGCTGAGAGAAGAGCGGACCGAGGCGCGACATATCCCGGTCCTAGGAAGAACTAAATTTCATCATCGTTGTGATAACGTACGTAGCGAATAAACGCCACTATTTAACCAGTAACCAGTTACTACCGCTGTATATAATAAACACACATAGTACCTTTCAATGTAAACGCGTAATTATATCGAGTAAGCTCTCCACCAGCGCGCCCGACGCGCGATGACGTGTAACGGCGATTAGTTTTGTAAACGAAAAGAGAGGTGACGGGGCTGGAGAGGAGGAGATGTGAAGAAGGAGAGGAAAGAGAAAGGAGGAGGAGGGGGGAAGGGCTCTTTCCTCGGTGTATTATAGCCGGGCTAAGGAAAGAGCGATATGCGTCACGTCGCGCGACGACGGCAGCTAGAAAGAAATGCAATCTTAGTTTAAGGGGAGGGGACACCCTCGACAGCTCGGCAAAGGCTGAAGGGAGAGTGACGGTCGGGCGATCGGTATAGATGGACGAACGGCGAACACAAGTGGATCGACCAGCGAATCAAAGCGATGGCGTCTCGCGCTAGATAAATGAGAATAGATAGATTTTATTTATTGTTTCCTAGGAACCCCCTATTCTCTACACACGACACACACGTGTACGCACACACAGAGGCGTACGCATATGACTCGTACACGACAGACTTCACGCACGCATACACACGCGCGCGCGCGCGTGCGCACAACACATCATACACACAGACAGACACATCGTACCAGAGCGGCCAGTAGCGGGCACTGCCGCGAGTAACTTCCTCCTTTAGACTTGTAAAATCGCGTTGTCGTTTTCACGTGGAATAAATAAATTGGCGTCGGAGCCGGGCACTCCCGTGCGATCGTACGGCTAGGTGAATCATGTTTCCGAAACGAGGATCGGCGAACGTACGGGAGGCAGCGCGAGCTCCTTCCGCGATTTTGGTTGTACATATACTTTATTTTCGTATATCTACGTATACATATAAATATATATATAAATATATAAATATAAATAAAAGGATAATTTGTCAGCGCGCGCCCCGATGTCGCGGCGCGCCGGGATATTCCTTGGGACATACGCGCGCGACGTGTGCGCGTACGCGCGAACGCAGAGACGAGGAGACGCGTTTTTCTATGAGCCTTCGATCCTACGTTTTGCATTTCCGCCTACCGCGAGAACAGCGAGCGAAGTTCCCCCTTCTCCCATTCGCGACACACGACGAACCCACTACTACTACGCATTAAGGGCGAACGAGATTTACAATTGTAATTATGTATAAACCGAATGCTACGATGTATATTATAGATCGATTATAAAGAACACTCTCATCATTATGAAAATAAAAATACCTATCAAAACAAATTGCAAATTCTCCTCTCTTTAGTGCGGAGACGTCTTTCTCCTTTTCTCCCCCCTATCTTTCCAGTGTATCTCGGCGCAGCGTCGTAATTAGAGCGAGTTAACTTCGTACACGCACGACGTGACTACGCGGTCGCTGTTAATTTGTAAAAAGAGAGACGGTCGATCCGACGTCTTGATCCAAAATTAAGGCACTCGAGAGGACAGTGTTTTGATAAGTAACGTGACTGTTGGCTAATCGGGATTTATTAAAGGCCGGCCAGAGAGCCGGGGGTCTCATCTCGAGCTTTCGAAATGTCGACGCGAACGGATACGTTTCGCGCGCGCAAAAATGAAAGAACCTCACCACGCCCACGCTGTAACGCGGCTCGACCTCGTTTTCGCGGAAAGAAGATCCTTCGTTCGCCCAGCGACGTTGGCCGGATCGTTTATCAGAGGATCTCGCGGGCGTGCACCGTGCACGCCTACTAATCCGCGGGCCCTACAAGGAAGAAGATCTCCACGGCGGAAGGGTTGTTCCCGGTCTGGACGCTGAAGAATCACACTCGCGATACAACGGCGAGTTTCACAGTTTCGCCGGCCGTACGTTCAGTCCGTGCGGTAAAATTGTTTTCTCATTTGAGGTAAAAGCTATCTGCAATGGGATTGGACAATAAGATATAAGCAGTAAGCAAATTGACCAATCACGGTCGATTATTGCAAGAATAATCAACTGTGGTTGGTCAATTTGCTTACTGCTTTACGTCTTACTGTCAATTGTCTTATTGTCAATCCTACTGTAGATGGACTTTAACAATACCGGGACGATTAAGAGAATGTACAATAAAGTTTTGGTAGAGTCATACAATCGATTGAACTTATACTTTATACTCTATTTGAATTTCAAATATTATCTTATCAATGTTTTTCGTAATTTAGTATGTCTTACAATTAATCTCATGAATAATTCATTTTTACTAAAACAGCGAAACAGTCCATGAGTAAGGACGACGTGTCCAGGTGTGCTTTTACGCCACGTTATGCAACGCGTGGAATATTCGAGAGAGCGTCGCAAATCACTAATAGTCACCGTTATTAGTTAGTTGTCGGCCCCCTAAAACAACGACAGGTGAGATCGTTCACCGATAAATCCACCGTCGCCACGCTAATTCTCGCCGCGAGGGCGAAACGACGGACTGACACCGTCAGGCGGGCCACGGTAATTAGAAGTGTCCCGTGTGCGGGTCCACTCGAACGAGACGCATAATTACACGTAAGTCGAGCGGGGTCCCTCGTCCTCCTCCAGAGCGAGAAGGCGTGCAAGAAGACCCGAATCGCTACCCCGCGGGCCCCCGCTCGGACCCCGGCCTTTAATCGGCTAGGCAGATTAGATTAGGACCTTCGATTCTCGCGTTAACTTACGGTCCCGACCGGGCTAATAACGGGTGCACGCGAAATCGAGCCTCGGCCAGTCTCCGAGAGGTCCTCCGCGAGCTCCAACGAGTCGTTCGCGATTCTCACGAGACTGCATCTTCCGAACAACACGTGCAGCGCGTATCAGTTGCGCAGTCACGATCCCTTGCATTCCGATAAAGTGAATTCGCACAAGCTCTGTTGAGGATAATAATTTACCATCTTGTCCGACTGCAATATATCTTCCATACGATTTCGAACATCGTACGGAAAGAGAAGAATCTATTTTTTCAGAAATCATGTTCCCCTCCCCCCATATTTTCTTCCTGAAGCCCCAGGCGATACTTGTTCGGTGTGTCTCTGCGAATCAACCATCATCCCCCTCTTTGCACCTCCTCCTCGTTCTCTTCGTCCTTTTTCTCTCGCCCCTTCTTTATCTTCCTCTCCCGTTCGTAAACGTGTACGTAGCACCGACGTACGCGAGATAAATGGATTTAGCGTGGCTTCGACCTTACCGAGTACGTGCGCTCGCCCGGCTAGAGCTTTATTCTACCACCTCTCCCGACGCTCTCGTGCGCACGACAGGTGCAGCGTGGGAGAACGAGGGTGGGAAGGTGGAGGTAGGTGCACGCTTCGTAGGGAGCTCGCCACGAGGAGGGCGGCAGTGGGATGGGGAGGGAGGCCAGGAGACAGGGAGAAGGAAGGCAAAAAGGAAAAGACGACGGAGAGAGAAGGCGGTCTCCCGGTTAACGTCGGCTCGCCCATCGATTCCCTCCGCGCAACCCCGGTCCATCGCGTCCAACTATGCCGGGGCCTCACCGTCGCTCTCGCGTGGTCACTTTGGGCCGGACGAACCACAAACGACGACAATGAAATTCCACGATGTTACTGATATAGATAAAGGAATTTATTATGTACACTGGAAGATTCCCCTCAAGCGCAAATTAAGTGGGCAAAAATAAGTAATTTCATTCAAAATAATGCGAAAGTAGAACAAATGGAAAAAAACCCGAGTCGAAATTTTGGCCCTATGTTAAATCTTGAATTCTACAACATAGTAGGAACTAAGTTAGCAAAGTAGATTTTTTAATTCTAATGATACAATTTACTCTTACTTTGACTCTAATGATGTTCAAAATATCCCTTTTCATTTTCTTTAGCGTCAAAATATGTATTGAATGGAATAGCAAGAAGGTAGAAAATTCCGACTCGGGAAAAAAATTGAGAAAGAGAATATCAAATAAGTCGAATTAATTTGATTAGGATAGCCTCGCTGCGCGATCATAGATCATAGAGCACATTTTGAAATGCAAATAATGAGTCTATGTTACGTATATAGATGGAAATGCAGTTCCACAAACTGGCGGATACAAATCGTTATTGCTGACGTCAAAGAGATCGAGTCGATTGTGCCGTTATTCGCGAATCTTGATTCAATTCAGTATGAGAAAGTATAATTCTATTCAAATAGAATGGTAATTGAAGTCTCCGAATATCTCGACGTTTCCCGACAATGCAATTGATAATTGTGTCTCTGTTTGTGAAAATCCTTGCCACTCGATGAATGTGTGCGATTGATACTATCAGTAATTTCATCGTTGTTGTTTCTCTCTGATTTATTGCACCGCGAAATATATTATTGCTTCTACGTCGATTCAGTTTACAGTCGCCCTTCGGCTAATGCAATTTTTTCATCTATTTTTTGTTGCGATCGCGAAGAATCGTGAATATTCAGCATAGAAGGATCACTTAAGATAATTTTAAAACTTGTCGATTTTACGTAAACCCTACACCGTAAAATTTATAAACGAAAAAAGAACGCCGAAAAATAAAAGGCCGCGGGTGAGCGCCTTTCTGCCTCGGCTCCTTCAGAATTTTCCCAGAGGTAAGATCGACTCTAATTTTACTTTCTTTGGTGCATCTGTAATGAAGATGAAAATATGGAAATCAGATGCGCAACGTGGCGTGTTAAATTCTAACGCGGCTGATTAAGCAATAACTCCGGCCAAGTCTTTCATCCTTGTTAGATCTCAATTTATTTACTTATTTATTTAGGCGGAGTGTGAAGAAGGTAGAGAGAAAGAGAGGAAAAGAGGAGGAGAGTAAGAGAGAAAGAAAGTCGAGCTATTTCGTGGCCGTCAGTCATTAAACTTTTAATTGGTCGCGTGAGAAACACATTAACCGGAAAGCAATTACAATGCACAGTTTGTGTACTTGATTATTCTCTCTCTCTCTCCCTCTCTCTCTCTCTTTCTCTACACTTACAAGCTCTCCCTTTTTCCTCATACGTGTTCGATCTTAAAAGTTACTCAAACATTTAACAAATCACGACAAAACGCTCAGTGCTTCCAATTTCTTTCAAACCCCCTCTTCCTTCTTTCTCTCTCTTTCTCTCTATCTCTCAGTTTTATTGTGTTTTGTATTCATAGTACAATAATCACAGTATGTCACTTATATCTCTACTTGCTTAAATTTGGCATCCTATTTGCGCTTTTGATTCTTCTTAAATCAAATTCTAGGAAGCTATTGACTGCCAGAGTATTAATAAACTCTACTCTACTCTCTCTCCCTCCCTCTTTTTCAACCTGCTCACCGACGCAACGCACACAACCGTCGCCTCGTACGCCTCAATAATTGTCATATCGTCGGGTCCGTGCGAATCATCGGGAATAGAGGCGTGGTGCTCGCGCACCGTCGCGAAAGTAGACTCTCCTCATTATCTCGTCGGATGTATCATCAAGCACCGCGGTGTACGCGCGATTATACACAACGATACACCGTAACGATACGGTCTCAGCGGCAGCGCGGCCAGCCGAGGCTGCTTTTAGGCGCTTTTTCCGCCATGAGAGCTCGGCCCTAGTAGAACACACCTGCGCGAATCGCGCTCCGAGACTCGGGAGCGTCTAGCATCCGGCAATCGCCCGCCGACATCGGGCACGCGTGCACGGCCGTTCGATCGGCCGCGTACAGGTATATCGGGTGGCCCCGCTCGTTCCCTAATCGAAGAGCGATACGAACTAATCGCCGTGGTACGAGCAGGTACCACGGACGCGCCGTCGTTGCACGTATAGAGGTGAGCGAGCGGGCGGCGCGCTCTAAACACACGTTAGAGCGTGGCCACTCGGCCGTTTAATCAGACGCCACGGGCGAGCTTCCATGCCGAACCGTGAATATCGGTCCCACGTATCTCGCGCGCTCGGGCACCGCCGATAAAGATCGCCTCGGCAATTTCGGCGTCCCGCACATGTCGTGTCCCGGCCCGGCGGAATTACGCCGCTAAACAAGCGAATCCGTCGAACGCGACCGGAACGAGAGGGAAAGCGCGGGGGGAAACTGTTTATCGCGACAGCCGATCGATCGTAAGGTGCCGCTCTTTATTGGACTAATCGCGCGGGCCAATGCGAGTCGAACGTTTCTGTTCATCGAAGTCTTTTCCTTTTCTTTCTCGACGTCGACTGTGCGAATTCTCAACACCGATCATTTTCAATATCGGCATATCGGTTCTTCCCGCGACGTCTCCGAATTCTCTCGAGCGGTGTCTTTCATTATTTCTTCGGGTGACTCTCGAGTAGCACAGTTGTTCCACCACGTGGTCGCG